TGTGGAGAGAAGATTGGTGATGGGTGACTGAACAATCTGCAATTGAGCAGCTGTAACCATTTTCGCAAATTCGGGAAACACACTTTCACTAAGACGTTTAATCAAACAGATGGTGGGCAGACGAAAAGAAACCAACTGTCGAAGCACCTCGGATATGTCCGGATGCCAAAAAAATTCACACAAATATTCAAACTAAAGGGTGTAGAAGAGAAAGAAAATGTGATGAAGATTGAGCGGAAGCACCGGATCGATCGGCCGGCGATGATACCATATGAAGATAGCAGAATGTATGAAGCTTTTTAGAAGAACAGAAAAATATATGAAACTATTGAGGAGAAAATGAAAGATGTAAAATGTATTTGATTCTTCGTAATGTGTTGTTTTACAATTCACACTTATATAAGTGTTTCTAAAACTGAATCTTACACAGTAAGTAACCTCTTTTAACTACCTCCTTATATCAACTAACTATCTCCTTATTCCAACTAACTATATTTCTAACCACCAAGATTCTAACTAACATACCAGCCTTTATAGGATCTTGACAAGTGGCATTAGTTACCTACTGCACTTGGACCACTATTTTCCACTTCATTCTGCTTACAAGTACTACTATGATCTTCAATTTTAACTCTCTACTTAATGAAGTATACACAGTGAAAATTTGGCTCGTACTTCTTTTCTAGTTGTACTCGAAGCAATTTTGGCATATGTGGTGAGAACTTAAATGAAGATAAGACAACTTGGTTATCTAATTCTATTCCTTAAAGTACTAAGCGATTGATCCACTAGGAAATGTAAGGAGATTGTGAATGAGTTCGCATTCCTTGGTTTGGCTTAGAACATTTCTTCAACATTTCATAATTGAGCAATGTTTTTGGAATATATGTCCTTTTCGATGCACCGATATTTGAGAAGTTAAAAATACTTTATAATTTTAAGAAAAAACTATTTCTCAACTTGCATTAAATGTGTTTTTTTCTTTAAATATGGAATGCTAAAAGTCAGTTGATCAAAATGGTTAGAGATAGCTCATTACTTGACCCACTCGCTAAGTGATCAACAGTACTTTGATATTTTAGTAAGTTTTCAAAAAGTCTCATGGGAGTGCTATTCAAATCTAGCTCAAATTAGTGAGCATTAAGTAGATGCTTCCCATATTTTCCGGAAAAAAAAATTATTTTTCCTACTAATCAAGGGCAATTATTCTTTAATTGTACACTATCATAAAGCCTTGGTTGAACAACAGCTTTATATGTACATCAAAAGAATATAGTCTATTTTACTCTTCTTGGAAAACCATGAATTTGTGAGTAGGATTCCAATCACTTGGAAAGGAATTTTAGGAAATTTTGGGTAATGTCTCACACCATTTAAGGTGGTGTAGGCGCAGCTGAACTCTTCCAATCTAGTGGGAGAAGTTTTTCGAAAGTTTGCTGCCAACAATTAGTCCGTAAAACCCTAAAGCAATTGAATGAGTGAAGCAACGACTTTGAAATTTCAATTAGTTTACACCAGTTCTCACATATGATGAGATGGTTTTCTACGATATAGACTTAAAGGTTGACTAATTTCTTGTGACATTTAAATTGCAATAGAATTGACTATAATCTTGTCCTTCACATTGGAAAAATATTCCAATCTTTAAGCGAAGGTGGGAAACATGAAATATCTTTACCTAGTGTTGCTACAAGATTGTAAGTTTAGTGGGAGTACAACTAATGGAAGTGTACCACTAGACTTTAAAGATTTTTCAAGAAATAGGTTGCTGGGCCTAGTGGGAGTACTAATAATAGAAGGGTGCCACTAGTCTGGAAGCAATCTCAAAGCTAGAATGCTAACTTAAGTACAAAAGGTTACAAGTTTAGTGGGGGTGTAACTAAAGGAAGTGTACTATTAAACTACAAGGAATCTTCCACCTTAGGGAAGTACAACTGAAGAAAATGTACTAAACAGCAGTGGGAGTACAATTAATGCAATCGTACCCAAGGTTTGAAAAAACGATAGGTGCTAGTCAGGCAGCAGATTAGCGCCTAGCGCCTAGACGGATTTAGGTAAATTTCTTGTATATCTTGTAAATAAGTGCATATTGACTCTTACAAAAAAATTATACTTGTATGAAATCTATGGGTAAGAGATAATAAAAGAATGATAAAATGCAAAAAAAATATTCAACAAGTCTAAAATTTAAAAATACATTAAGCATATATACCATATAATCATAGTGAGGAGTATTATAGGATGACACGAGAACAAAATATACTTGGGAAAAAGAATGAAAAAGAAACACAAAACAACCGCCATGAATAATTGAACTCGTGACTTGGAAACTGATGAAGATGCGCTGACCAACACGTACAAGGCCACACCCATGTCAATCCTTTACAACAACTACAATACAAGCTAGTGTAGCAGCATCATTTGACATTTGAAAAACCCTAGCAGCTACACCCACTCTCATTTCAGCTTTTGATGACCTCGAGCCCAGAGCCCAAACCCTCTCTCTAATTCAGACTGTTGCTCCTCGGGTAGCACAGAGGCTTAGTATGCGCACACGTGTCATGCATCAAGAAATTGAGCTCCCTAGGATTCCAATTGAAAGGCTACCCCTTCCCTCATTTCTGAGTAAATTGAGAAACCCTAGGTCTCTCTCATTTCTCTTAAAAGATGAGAGATGTCTCCCAAGAAAATCAGAAGCCTCTTTCTCTAGAAATCGAAATAAGTCTTTCATTTATCTCCACCATCCCTCACATCAACACAAACCTCAGACATGAGCTCATCTCACCTATTTCAGCCATCACGGTTTGTCGACGCACAATGGTAAAACGCATTGATTGCTTCTCTTCTCTACTCATTAATTTCTTATTTCCAACATACTACAAGTTCACAACTTAGACTTAGATAGGATTTTTTTTTAATTTCAAAAAAAAAAAAAAAAAAAACGCATAGATGCCTAGCACCGCATACCCCGCCTAGCCCGCCTGGGCGGCCGCCTAGAGCCCAACCGATTTTTCCAACCGATTTGCAAGAAAACGCCTCGGGTCATCACCGCCTAGGCCGTTTTTTAGAACACTGATTGTACCATTGCAGTTATGTGAGAGGAACAAAGTTTTCACAAAACAATATAGGTTGTAAATATGATATAGTCAATAAATTGAGTGACTTGTGATAAAAGTCATAAAAAATGTGAATTGAAACTTATTAAAAATAAGAGTGGTCTTAGAAGGTTCATAATCCCACTTAGTAGTTGAACCAGTAAAGTGGTTGACATTTTCTCGTAGCTCCACTGAAGCAGAATACAAAGGCGATGGATCATTCTGACCTTTGCTGTGTAATTTTGGCATTCTGATTCACAGAAGCCATGAAAGGGTTAATGAGTTTCTGATTTGATCCTCTTAGAAGAATCATTCCAGATATTGTTAGATTTTTTTCCATTTTGATCTGTTCTATCTCAATCATGACATTTTAAATGGCTGACTAGAAACGCCATTTTACACAATACGAAAATGCCATAAAGATCGACCACACTAATACCTATAACAAAAATCTCCAACGTAGCCCACTCCAAATGCAAAAATTTTGTAACCTAAAGAGCAAAACGATCATTTTCTTGCAAGTAAACCATCACGTGGATCATACTTGTGAAGAAAGCTGGAGTAAATATCATCTTAAACTTGCATAAGACTTGGATAATGTCATGACGCAACTAATTAATGTCCGTCTTTCGCAATGTTCTTGACGTCAGTTGGGAAAAAAATCTGGACAACAACATGATTGGCTTCACTACATCTTCTGGCAATAGGTGTTGAATACCCACAGGAAGTAGGCATTGCATAACCACATGGCAGTCATGACTCTTTAGTCAAACAAAATTACCCCCGTCAACATTCACACAACGCGCCATAGTAGAAGCATACCATCAAGAAACTTTATAGACGATAAAAACTTTAAAAACTATTTTTTGTCATTCGATTTCATGGAAAAAAATTGTAAGATCCCTTTTCGCTTTATCATTGTCCCTATTCATCCATAAACCCCTCCATATTCCAATTCGTCCAAATCAAGACGAACTTTGATCGTATTCTTTGTCTTGCCCTTGATATCTAGAATGGTGCCCACCAATGTGTCAAATATATTTTTCTCAACATGCATAACATCGAGGTTGTGTCTCAATTTTAGTTTCGACCAATACGGGAGCTCAAAAAACATAGACTTGTGCGTCGAATTCATATGTGTAGAAGGTTTAGTCCTACTCACTATGTTTGTACCATACTTAGAGCCTCCATATTTAGACCTCGTATAAATACTCACGGAACTCAGGTGTAATTATGTAATAAATGAAGGAGCAAATATGTAATAAGTGAGGAGCCCTTATTCTATAAAAGGGCATTCTCACCCTCACAAACCCCAAGCTCTGATCCTCACATACAGAAGCTCTCTCTCCCTCACAATCCTCTCATAAACAGAGAAATACAATATCAGTGTGGACGTAGCCTAAACATTGGGGTGAACCACGATACATCTTGTGTTCTTTACTTTCTTGCAGATTCACGGTCAGATTTATGTTGTTCCAAGACCTCCGGTTTTGTGCATCAACATTTGACGCCGTCTGTGGGAAATAACACAAAAAGCTATGTCGGTTTTCTTTCATTTTTTCATCTCACCACCGTGAAACCTCACCACTGTCCATCGTGGATCTGCAAAACCCACACAGAGACACAGACACAGAGCTCTCTTTCTCTCTTTGAAACTTCCAATTTACAGAGCTGTTTCGTCTTCCACTGTTTCCATCTCCCAAAATCTCTCTTCCATTCGCACGCTTCATCTGAAAAATTATCTTTCTTGCGGTAAGAGGAAACAAGGAGATAGAGGTTTTGCCATTGCTGACAGAGAGAGAGAGAGCGAGAACACATGCATGCAGGCAACCAAGCAAGCAAATTAGCAATGTCATTGCCATTGCCAAGGAAAAGAAAGCGGCATTGAGTCAACTCGTCCGAGTTATGGGGTGCTGCGAGTCGTCTTTTATACATGCACATCAACACCAGCACCACCACCTGGACACCTTTAGCTCCACTGCCACCACCAACCGTACTCCTCAACCGTCCAACGGTCGAGCCGATGCCGCCAGAGTAGGAGCAGTGCCTGGATTCTCGGAATTCTCGCTGGCTGACTTGAAAGGCGCCACAAATAACTTCAGCTCTGACTTTATCGTCTCCGAGAGCCGTGAGAAAGCCCCCAATGTCGTCTACAAGGGCCGTCTCCAGAACCAAGATAACCGTCGTTGGATTGCAGTCAAGAAATTTTCTAAATTTGCCTGGATGAAGCTTGGGGCGTTAGGAAGCCGAGGCACAAAAGGCTTGCCAATTTGATAGGGCATTGTTGCGATGGCGACGAGAGGATGCAGGTGGCGGAGTACATGCCTAATGATACCCTTGCCAAACATCTCTTCCACTGGGAGAATCAAACCATTGAGTGGGGTCTACGACTAAGAGTTGCTCTGAACATTGCTGAAGTATTGGATAACTACAGTAGTGAAGATCGCCCATTGTACCATGATTTAAATGCATGTAGGGTTCTCTCTGATGAGAATGGCGATCCTCGGCCTTCATGTTTTGGATTGATGAACAACAGCAAGGATGGAAAAAGTTACAGCACCAATCTTGCATACACACCTCCTGAATATCTAAGAAATGGAAGGGTGACTCCAGAAACTGTTACACTCAGCTTTGGGACTGTCTTTTTGGATCTGCTCAGTGGAAAACACATCCCTCCCAGTCATGTAAGTATTTACCGTGCCATGCACTTGTTCTCCAATTGGTCGGTTTGGAATGGACCCATAATCTAATAGTTAATACGAGGTCTAAATGACTGGGATTCATCATCGCCGTCTGGGTTCCAGTCGGCCGGTCCAAGGAGGAAGCCAGAAGCTTCTTGATCAAACGGTTGCCACAGTGGATGCCATCACGGCCATCAGTTCTCCACCCTCGGATTTCTCAGCCGTCGAGAACGTCTTGGATATCGTAAGCTCCACCGTCTCAGGCAAATTACTTACCATTAACAGCTATGTGCTATGCGCAGGACGCTGACTGCTGCGAAGGGATTGTTCAAAAAATGAAGGGTTTAGATTTAGGTGCAGATTGTACAGGCAGGAAAAGGAAGGCACAGTTACAACCATAACAGAACAAGTTGGTGCTGGCATAGAGATCCTATCTCCTGTGAATACCATGAGCACTAGTGGAAAACAGGAAGAAGATAAGCTTTCTCAATAACAATCCTACTATTATTCCTCTTGTCTGCCATCTGCCAAAAGAAAGGAAAGTAAAGAGAAAGGAATATTACCCTTAATCATGTCATCAAGCGACATATCCAAAGAAGAAAGCAGAAAGTAAAAGCAGAAAGCAAAAGAAGATAAAAAAAAGCAGACATAATTGTGGTGGTGATGGCATGCAGAAAAGGGAATTATGGGCGTGACCCATTGAGCAGAGGGACATATTTATTTTTGAATGATGTGATTTATTTTTCTTATCTTTCAGAGACATCTAGTACTCCAAAATTATACATGAGCATCACTCATGTCAATCATACATAAACATTCATAAGCATCATTCATGTTAACATTCATGAGCATCACTCATGTCAACATTCATGAGCATCACTCATGTCAACATCTATGAGCATCACTCATGTCAATCAACATAAACATTCATGAGCATCACTCATGTCAATCAGCTTCGAAAGCTTCATTTACAAAGCTCCAGCTTCGAGAGCTCCATCTTCAAAAGCTACATTTACAAAAAGCTCCAGCTTCAAAGCTTCATTTTCAAAGCTTCACCTACAAAGTTTCAGTGCATGGTATACAAAGACCGCCTCTTAACAAGCGTCACTTCAGCCTATACATGGATTGAATTTGAAGTCTCCAGCTAACAGACTCTCTTGACTGAAGACTTTGAGGACTACACCATGTACCATATATTGGGCTTCGGCAACTGGGCCTCATGAAAAATACTTGGGGGACTTAGCCCATTATTTATGTACTGAGGAGCGAGCCCTTATTTTATAAAAGGGACTCCCTCACTTTCATTAGAGAGCACCCATTATTCATGTATTGAGGAGCGAGCCTTTATTTTATAAAAGGGACTCCCTCACCTTTATTAGAGAGCATCGCCGCCAGCTGAGCAATCGCTTCACCGCGAGCATCAATTCTAACCCATCACTTATGTATAAAAAGGAATCCCTCACCATCATTAGAGAGCATCGCCACCTGCTGAGCAACCACCTCGCCGCGAGCATCAACTCTAGCACATCACTTATGTATTAAGGAGTGAGCCCTTATTCTATAAAAGGGACTCCCTCACCTTCATTAGAGAACATCGCTGCCAGCTGAGCAACCGCCTCGCCGCGAGCATCACTCCTAACCCATCACTTATGTATTGAGAAGCGAGCCTTTATTCTATAAAGGGGACTCCCTCACCATCATTAGAGAGCATCGTCGCTTGCTGAGCAACCGCCTCACCGCGAGCATCAACTCTAGCCCATCACTTATGTATTGAGGAGCGAGCCCTTATTCTATAAAAGGGACTCCCTCACCATCATTAGAGAGTATCGCCGCCCGCTGAGCAACCGCCTCGCCGCGAGCATCAACTCTAGCCCATCACTTATGTACTGAGGAGTGAGCTCTTATTCTATAAAAGGGACTTCTTCACCATCATTAGAGAGCATCGCCGCCTACTGAGCAACCGCCTCGCACCGAGCATTAACTCTAGCCCATTATTTATGTATTGAGGAGCGAGCCCTTATTATATAAAAGGGACTCCCTCACCTTCAACGCCACAAGCCGAGCCAACCAAGGTAACATAAGCCACAAATAGAGCAGCTTCGCAACATGTGCTACTTCTAGTTGAGCATCATTTCAGATTGGGCACCGCTTCATATCGAGTATCAGTTTTAAACGACATCTAGTTACTTCGGCCCACACATGGACTGAATTTCAAGTCTCCAGCCAAAAGACTCTCTTGACTGAAAATTTGAGGGACTACTGTTTGTACCATACTTAGAGCCTCTGTATTTAGACCTCGTATAAATACTCAGGAGACTCAAGTGTAATTATGTAATAAATGAAGGGGCAAATATGTAATAAGTGAGGAACCCTTATTCTATAAAATGACCTCCTCAGGCTCTCATCCTCACAAATAGAGAGCTCTCTCAAACTCTCTCTTTCTCTGGGGGACTCCCCCTCACCCTTGTAACCCATACGTACAGTTAGAGAGAAATACAATCAACATCAGTGTGGACGTAGCCCAAACATTGGGGTGAACCACGATACATCTTGTGTTCTTTACTTTCTTGCAGATTCACGGTCGGATTTATGTTGTTCCAAAACCCCTCCAGTTTTGTGCATCAACACACTATTTTTTCGAATGGAGCAAAATCCAAACGGTTAAGCCATTTCAAAATCTGATCACCGAACCATTTTCTAAGTATGAGGTGAGGTTCTGTTTCCCGTTGAACTCTTGATGTGAGAATTACTTGACACACAAATTAAACCTTCTTTTTGACAATTGTAGTATAGATGTAAGTAGGGTATCGTTCTAGGCCGGGGATTAGGAGGGATTGCTAATCTATTCTAAATTAATTTAAAAATATTAAACAAGACTCAAGGACACAAAACTAGGCTAAAAACTCTAATAACTCGAAACACACTTAGAATGACTCAAAATAATGAAAACAATCAAATTAGACACTAGGAACTGAAATGGACGGAAATTGAATTAAAAGACTAACAACAATGAAAACTAACTAAATAATATAATTTAATAATGGGGGGGTTTGGTTTTGACGAGAAGTAAATTAAACTTAAATAAATTACAGAATTGACAAAAGCATGAAATTAAGGTGAAAGGATATGTGACGGACTAGCTAGAGGGTTCTTCTCCACACATGACACATATGCAACCTAAATTGATTTTCAGTTGTTCTTTCAATAAATTGTGAATGACAATGTTCCAAGTTAATTAGGTCCGCTTAAATTAACTCTTTAGATTTCCCTAGATTCATTGGATTGAATGGAATACGCATTACAACCAAATTATTCCTCATCAAAGTCCCTAAGTATGGAATACGCATGATAGAGACATTCAACAAAGATCATTAAGTTCAACGGAAATCATAAACATTGACTAGGCATTCATAACTATGGAATACGCATGTTAATCAAGCCTAGAACTCACTTAACACGATTGTGGATAACAACCTTCACTACTTGTGAATATAAGTTCATAACGATTAGGTGAAATTCACTTATATTCTAGCATCAAATTCATGCATGTAAATTAAGTATGCATTCTTAATCGACATACAAAAATAAGTTATCAATCAAGCAGTTAAGCAAATTAAATCACAACTCAGAAATCATAACTGAAGGTAATCAATTCATATTACAAATATATTCATGGCTTTGAATTAACCTCTGGCCAGAATAAATTTAGTTACACATTATTAAAACAAAAATAAAATATAAGTTTGGAAAGATTTAACCGAAAGAGGAGAGTGCTTCAGTGCTCTGTTGTCCGTGCCTTTGAACCCCTGCAAGCCTCACGCTGCCAAGCAGCTTTCTGCTTCTGTTTTTCTCCCCCTTGGTTCCGCGTCCCTCTGACTTATCTCTCCCCCTCGGTTTCTGCTGCTTCTATCACTAGCTGCCAGGCAGCTATTCTTTTCCTCCTCCTTTCTCACGCTGCCAAGGGCAACTTTTTATTCTGCTCCCCCTCGGTTTCTGCTTCTCCCCGCAAGTCTATCTCTTCTCTCCGCGTTCTGACCTCCCTCTTATTCTCCTTTCCCTTTTATTTTTGTATTCATTCTTTTCTTTTTGCTGTCTGCCATTCTCCACTTTTTCTTTCTTTTCTTTTGTTATTCTTCTCCATCACTCCATGTCTGCCATGTCATGGATTTCTTTTATATTTTTCTCACGTCTGACTCCTTCTTCTTTTATGTTTTTCTGCCATCCACTACTCTTTGTTTTATTTCTTTTCTTTTGTTATGCCGCACTCCCTCTTCTTTTACTATTTTTTTTTTCTTTTGCTTCATTTTCCTTTCCATCCCATTTTCTACGAAAACAATGCTAACACAAAATTAACTGTACATTAACACAAGGTAAGATAAAATGCCATAATTTTAACACAAAAACATCACAAAGACTTGAGAAATAGATGGTATAAATGTATGAAATATATGAGTGATCAAATACCCCCAAACTTACATTTTTGCTAGTCCTCTAGCAAAACAAAGAAAACATGAAAAAGTAATAACATGAAAAATATTAGCTTCCCTCTATGTGACCCTCATAGAATTTCATTCAAGAAAACAAATCATCAAGAACCATAGCTAGCACCAAACAAACTAATCCAAGTTCATCTTCCTTATTCAAATATTAGCAGTAATCTTTGAATCATCCTTGAAGTGTAGTGTGTGAGATAGCCATGCTAATGCAATTTCAAAATTTTTATATTTTTAAAATCATCATATGCAAACTAGCAACCTTCTCACGGGATATACACTCAATCACACATGTGTTTAGTTTAAATGTGTTTCGCTCAAAGAATCAAATGTGAAATTTCTACCATAAGCTTGCATAAAGATCTCATCTCCACAATCATAATTGCAAAACTTAAATCAAGAGGACTTTTATTGGATGTAATGAGGTTTAGGGAGAGGGTTATTGAAATGAAAGAATAGGTAAACACAAGTTTCAAGCTACATTGCAAGCAATTCTTTTGTTTAGATTTATAAGAACTCAATCTTTCCAGCGATTCTTCTAGCACCTCCAACCACACCCTTAAACTGAAACTTGAACAACTTTTTATTTTCTTTGTGTACAATCTTTTTTTTTTTTTTTTTTTTTTTTTTTTTTTTTTTTTTTTTTATACAAACATGAGATACCCCCACATTTATTCTTTTGCCAAACACCTTCAAAGTACTTCACAAACATTTCTCATAAGACAATCTCACATTGCTCACTAGCTTGCTTGGAAAGGGTAAGGAAAAAAGTTTAAGGTATAAGGGTATACATATCTGGTGATAAGAAATAAAAGGGCTCAACATACACGGCTCAAATTGGCAATCTAATGATATCATTTTTCTTTGGGAAACATGGTTATTTGGGCCATAGTGGTAAACCTAATGCC